GCAAAAACGAAGATGGGGATGCGGCAGAACACAACTTTTTCTTTATAACTTATCTATCAGCAACAGGAACAGCTGAACGTCAAATACGACCTAGACTTCTGGAAAAGACTGTGCTAAACTGATTAAACAGCATTTTTCTAAAGAAACTGCCACTGCAACCCAATCAATACATAAAGTGAAAAGTTAGGAATTAAAGGGACGGTACGATACGACGACCAATAACTGTGCTCTCAATTGAGTGCAAAATATTTTAGAATTAAAGCTTAGGCGGAAAAAAAGCGTCTCTTAAGCAGATGCTTAAAAAAGTGTAAAAGCGAAGGGAAACAGAACAACTGAACCAACTAGAAATATTGCTATTTGGCGAGAAAAACTGTTCACTGGACTGAAGTTTGGCTTTAAAAGCGATATCATTTGCAATGTTCAGATAGATTTTTGGGAATTATACAGTAAACAATATCCCACGACAAGCAGCAGGAGTGCTGTGATACCGCTGCTAAAATTTTCTAGGTTTTACTCCGGATTCAAAGTTACAGTAAACAAAATTTGATGGTCGAAGAAAGTTTAAGCAGCGTCAGCAGCTGCGGAAATACGACCTTAAAAAGCAAAAAATCAAAAGTTAAAGGTGCAACCTGGAAGCATAAGAAATGAAGAAATAGTAAATGAAACTACAAGAGCAGTGATAAAACCAAGTAATATTTCAGCCTTCTAGGCAAAAACTGACACCTCAAAGACCTTTTAAAAAGATCAAAAGAGAAGAAACTCCCTCAAAAAATACTTAACTCTTTTAGTTTGGGGGTGTAATAAAGGTCATAAATGTTAAAACATCTTAAAATTAACTTTATCCAGCAAAGTCTCCTTATTTTCATGAACAATAAAGCAAAAAAATTTTGATAACTAGAAATAACTATTTATCAGTTAGCACTTTCTGTTATCTGACTGGTCCAACGGCCAGCTACTGACCTTCTCTGACTCACGAAATGGCCGTAAAAACAATTTTAAAAAATAGTTGAAAATTTTCTTTGAGTCTAATTTTGTTTCATCTATTAATATGCGGAAAGTCTTTCGTAAGTAAATGACCTAAAAGCAGAAAAAAATCAAATTTTATTAAATCAGTGTTAATAATATTTATAACGTTACCGTTGTCAGTGTTCATCTCGGATACTGGCCAGCGGTGTATTAGCCATTGCTGAACTTGCAACCATATAGAGCAATGACATTAGTACAATCAGAATCAGTAGATTAACAATCAGAATTAAGGTATTTTTGTCAAAAGTTTTTTCAGCTGCTTCAACGATACTTTGCTTTCTGGATGACGGTGCCATTTGGAGAGATGAATGAATAAATGAATAAACGAAACCAAGACAAGTTCAGAGTGTTATTGTTGGTTCTTTATGTTGTTATTGACGATGGTAATAATGTTAAAAAATGTAGATGGAAAGCAGCAAACGCTTCAGTGGTGATGCTGTTGGCGGTTGGTGATACACAAGAGAAACTGTTGCTTTCAGCGGCTGAGGATTTGTATTAAGAAAAGTCTTTCCTCTTTTTTTCAACTTTCACGAAAGCCCCTTCGAAGTTTGCCGAAAAACTCTGACTGACTTGCCGGTTAGACTTCACTAACTCCCTTTATACTACAACAACAAGCAAGAAAGCAAGCAGAACAGATCCCACAAATTCTTCCCCCTATTCATTTTCCACCCGTATCGCAAGCAACTTTCGATATTAGAAGGAAGCGATACGTACATACGCAATCGCCTCTCAACAACACCAATTGCCCGCCTAAAGGTTCACTACCAATACAGAGAGCATCATCATCATCATCATCAGCAGCAACAGCTACACCAGCAGCTGCTATCCGTAGAACTTCCTCCGACATCCTGACTTTCTAGTGTCTGTCCCGTCTGTGTCCGTACAAATTCAAGATGTTGTCGTGACTATTGTTGCTGCTTTCGTCTGTACGCTGTCATCAAATTCATGTGATTATGGCATAAAATTTTACGTCTTGCAAGCACTAATTTCTTTCCGATTCTAAATTTCTTGTTGCTTTCAGTTAAAGTTAGTTGTTTTCTCTACATCAACGTTTGACTCGCATGCAACCACTAGCATTCATATGATTTTACGCAATAGTAGAAAACCAGCTATCATTCATCCTGTGTAGTCATCCACTTGTTGTTTCGTTCAATAATAGAATTAATTCTCAGCAAAACCCTCGTATTTATCTTTCCTGCACCAACGGTAGATCCAAAAATAAGCCCTCCCAGTGGTTTTCTCTCCCTAAACATTCAATCCAAAAAACCAAATTTTTTCTTTTTTCAATTCCAAACTTTTATTTATGCCTTTGTAAATTGTTCTTAATCTAAGACGTCTTGTATATCCAAGATTTCATAAAATGATCAATTAGAAGCTGAAAAATTATTTACATAAACACTTTGGTATCATTCAGCACACCAGTTAACAAAAGCAAAAACAAAAGGCTTTTTGAGCAAAAAAAGCCGAAATTCGAATACAACACAGTAGGCTTAAAGAAAACAACTACCGGAGTGAGCAATCGTGTATGTTTCGCAACCATCGAGAACGATTTTTAAAAATTTATGTAAGTGCTGAAAGCATCTCTGAAGAAATGAAAACCGGCCTTTTTTTTTACCTTTTTTCTGAGATCAAATGCGCCAGACAAAAACTACCAGTCCTTAATTTCTTACTGAATAAATCCACTTTAATTAAATTGTTATTAAAATTCCTCTCTACATCATTATCAAGCCATAACTAATGATAGTATTAACCTTGACTGGATTTTTTAACTGTACCAACAAAAACTTTCTGACAAGACTAATTCCGGGTAGCTTCCTAACAAGAACCTTCTTCCTGTTACTTTCCGGTAAATCCCAAACTAAATAATCGAACGAGTATATTGGCCAACTTACAGTTATACATCACTAATCAGAAATTTCTTCATGCATCCGTCTGGTTCAACAAATTCTGGGCAGAAAAATGACATTTGTCAGTTGATCAAAACGGTATTACTAGCTAGAGAGGAAGAGATTGAAGAAGCAACGAAAAAACATGAAGAGTAAAAAAAGAACTGATGAGTTCTCAAATGCACGAAAATTTTTGTCCGCTTACGACGGTTTGAAAAAAATGCATCAGAACTGGCAGTGAAGATCTAAAAACCAGCCAAAAACCCTTAAATTTTTTAGTTCCTTGCATCACTAATCGTAGCAGTAGTCTAAAAAATTTCTCCGGCTGCCCATCAAAGAAAACAGGCTCTTTTCTGCTTCAAAGTCCCAAATAATACACAAAAAAGCAACATTAATTATTTCCACAGGACTGAATCAATCGTGCAAATTTAATTCTACAGAACCATCATCAAAAATTTCACTTCCAGAAGATTCCTCCACATCAACAACACTTTTAAATGACGTCCGTTTAAAATCAATGAAAATCTGCAGAAAGTAAAAATTGCGATCTTTCCTTCACTTTTGAAAACATGAAAAATCCAGCACTAAAAATCAAGCGACTTATAAAACGCTTACAAACGGTACATAAAAGTTGCTGAAAAACTACAACTACTTGAATTTTCAAAAATAAATTAGGTGATAACAATTTAAAATTCCGGAATAAGAGCTTTCGAAAAGAAGCGGTGGCATAAATTTTTGCGCTTCCACAAAATCAAAATCTAGAAGCAAAGTTCCCTACTAACGATTTATAATGTTAACACCAAAAAAACAAGCAAGGACTTCTTAGACACCTTACGGACGGCAGACGAGGAATTCTGGTAGGTGCCTGTAGAGGTGCTTGAAACATCAAAAGTACCCGTCCACAACGTTTAACGACTATAATTCAAACTGCGACACCTTCCAAATTAGAGTTCCTCCTGAGCGAAGTTAAATGAAATTGTTAATTTACCACTATTACTGTCAAAATGATGAAATATCCTAACAGCTTTTTCAAAAGCTGCAATGGTGTACAGAAGTCAGGAAATAGGCCGTAAAACATTTCCTCGAGAATTCCACTACCTGCAACTATGCCTTGTAATAATTACCCAACTTTTCAAAATCTTCCTCATAACGAAAGAACGGTGAAAAATACTTAGGGCTATCAAAAAAGAAGTGAAGCTGATCGAGAAAACTAACGAATTTTGATTAGTTGGTAATAACAAGCACTACAGACCAGCTATGAAAGTGAGGACCGCTTTGAGTTCCACATCCTCCAGAACTTGAAGCAGTCCTGTACAAAACCCAAAGCTTTATTACGGAGCTTTTTTAAAAACCCGTCCACACTTGACAATAGTCTAAAGAACCGCTCGTTCGCACGTTTTCAAGAGAACGGAACCAGTCAAACTAGAGGACTGCCTGTAGTCAAATAACCACGTCAATTAAAGACGTATTTATCCGCCTGATTCTTCATGACTTTTTAAAAAGCTTGCTAAAGAAATTTCCCCCACTTATACAAATCCCAGCAACAGCCGCTGTAGCCAAAAACTTGTCCTTAAAACTATTTTTCAGTTCACTACTTTACAGCGCAGTGACGTCCACACCCCTCATATTGAGAAGTGAAATGCCGAAAACAAAGAATGCTATGGCCATTATCACAGAATTCATAAAAATCATGCGAGAACAACAACACCTGCAGCAAAAAACTTGATAAAATTTACACTTCTCTTTGAAACTTCAAAACCATTCAATGGCAACCAACGCTGCCTGCATTCGACGCATAATCAGTCGAACAAATTTTATACAAAAGGTACAAAACTCCTCACTCAAGCTTTCTAAGGCAGCATCTCTTTGTACCAACTTATGAAGAAAGAAACAAAAAAAACTTGGCTCAAAACGAACGTAACGTAAAAAGAAGGGAACAATATAAAGCTTCAGCGGACCAACACATCACTAAAAATGTCTAAGAAGCAACAAGTAAAAAAACTAACTGCAGAATTTAAAAGAGAGCTCTAAAAACCGGCCAAAAACATAATACCCGTCAACATAACTCTCTCGGCAAAATAGTTTTGAGAGCAGAATGAGTAATCTACATAATATTAAAAGGAATTCTAATAAATCATGTAACTCTATAACAGTAGTAACACATAATGCTCTTCAAAACTAAAGAGACAAGAATATATTAAGATTCCAAAAAGCTGCAGTGCTTATTTCAACACCAAGCTTTTCACTAACAAAAAAGCGAAGAGAACCCACTAGAAAAAGACCGACAACATAAATTTCGCAGTGGAGGATAAAGAAGTCCAGAAAAGGCAAACAGTAAACGTCTGCTGCACAAAACAAAAGACAATCAACTGAAACATTTCTTCAAACTGAGCAATCTTAAGAGCTGCATTACAGATAAAGCTACACGCATAAAATAACTGCAGACAAAAAAAAAAAGAGCAAAAAAAGGTAGTAAAACAAATTACACGTTATTTAGAGGACTAGACGATCAAAGGTCGCTGCACGAAAACGTCTTTTCATATCAGCGTAACCAACGGACGCAGAACGTCTAGCACGAACCATTTTAAGTAATGAATTAAAATTAGAACTCTGAAAAAACTGATATTCTTAACTTGCAAGGTGTAGCCTCTAAAGCAAAATACCATCCAACCAAAATATTCAGCAGAGCTACAAATCACAACACAATACGAAATACTTTTAAAATGTTAGAGAAAGAGTGCTTGTAAAGAAAAATGAAGCGACCAGCAAATTCGGCACAGAAACAAAGACGACATTTCGCAACGAAGACATGATA